GCTTAAAAAACCTCGACGCTAAGCGTTGCAGTCTCCGTGGGCCTCGCAGCGTCGGCTCAACAGCTAATACTGTGCTGTGGTCAACGGATGGACGAAAATGATGACGATTCTAAAAGAAATACCCTTGAACGCTTCAGGACATCAAATCTTACATCCACAAGATGTAAGATTTGTTGTTCCACAATAGTGATGCCCCTTATTTTCTTCCGGGCAAGGGAGAGTGGAACACCAATGGCACATTACCGGTTCCGGTCATGAGCTGAATGGCCACTCCGCTTCTGGTTGATCCGGAGGCCATTGGAGGAATATATCATATCGCATTTCTCCCCTCCCTGACACGGAGGCCTTCTGACACGCGCAGTTGGCTCCGGATCAGCACAGGAACCCTCATTTATGCGACAGCATCCCTGCTTGCCAAAGGTGGTCCAATAATTGTCACACAGGCTCCAGTTCTGTGCTTTTCTGTTTTCTTCATAGATATTCAGGAATCTCTGAACGTAGATTGTAAGTGAAATGGAGTCCTCTGTTTTCATTAGCATGTCTAATTCACCGTTCGTCTTAAGTCTTATGTCTTATGTTCGTCTTAAGATGTTCAAGATTCAGTCAGAGTTGATTATTGACAACAAAAAAACTACGCCATGTGGTCTCGAATACACGCGCTCGCAAGTCATATCAACAACATCCTGGACACCCGGCGTTGCAGTCTCCATAGGCCGCGTGGCGTCGGCCTGCGGCTGTGATATTGAACGATGACCAATAAGAAAACGAAAAAGATGACGTATCTTGAGGAAAATAGCTGGTAAACTAGGTAAATCGACATGTATATTTAAATGTGGTGCAAAAGTAAGCTAAACACAACCTTAGTATGAAAAGTGGGATGGCACAGTGCTGCCCCCCCCCCCCCCCCGTGAAAAGTGGGGGGGGGGGCAGGGCCCCCTGTTCCTACTCCCATCAGCTCACGTACCGGCAGGGTCGCTACGCCCTGAGAGGAACAGCTTGCGCTGTCCGCCCGTTACCGGAGCTGGGACCCGACGGGGCGCTAGTCCCCTACACCGGCTGAAGCCGGTGCCCCTGCGGGGAATCGTCAAGGATCGAGGACGGTGGTGGCAGCTGGTCGAGAATAGACTCCAGCGGCGTGGCATGTAATGCTTGCGTTGGTGGTAAGTGTATAGAACAGATGGCTGGCTTGACGGCACCCAAGTCTACAGTAACTGCGATAGCTTGCAGTTCGGTGCTGAGAGTGAATTCTGTGCAGGGTACGTTAGTTTGCACTAAGACAGATACATCGCTGTGGGCAATGGTGTGTCAACCAAAGTCTTTTTAAAGGTGCGGTAACAACTGATGGCGTGATCCATGTCAGGCGAAAGCTTTGCTTCCTTCAAACAGGCAATTGTGGGGTTGCGGACGAAAAAAGCCTTTACAAGTCAGTCACGCTGGCTCTAAAACCGCGCAGGTTCCATTGTAAAATTCAACGCGACAAGAAGGCTGCTTGTCGGTTATTAAAAGGATGTCAGCGCTTTAAAAGTGAGACTCGGTTCCAGTTCTCGGCCCGAGCGGCTGCACGTCCCGACGTACAGCCTCGGCAGATCCAGACCGAGCCCTGGGTCAAACCTTTGGGTTTTCACTCTCAGGGGGATATATCGACCAAGGTGGAGTGCGTTTGGCGTCACGTCTTTGGGCGGGGGATGACGCGTCGGTCGGGGTGCGTACACCCGTGATCCTCGGCGGTGGCATTGGGGGGCGTTGGGGCCGCTGACGGCCGCGGGTCCCGGCCGCGCTGGACTATGGTCCACCCCTCGACCCCACGCTCCCCAGTGGGTGGCAGAGAGGGCCTCGCAGAGGACACAATCTGCGGTGAAGTCCCAGCGGTTGCCGGATCGCCAATGGGTGCCATGGCGGCTCTGGGGTCCCCTGACACGTTTTCTCCACGAAGGAAGGAGGTGGTGACCGCATGATGTGCCAGTAACCAAGCTATCAGCTGAATGAAATCCGCAACAGTCATCAAAGCTATCAAGGCCACATGAGGCAAAAACCTGGCTGGCGTCAGATGGTGCTAACGTGGGTCTCACGGACGAGACAACGGCGTCACCGTAGGTCTTTTTAGCGGTTCTTTCCTTATACTTGCGCTGAACGTCTTCGAATGAGTCCTTTACTTGGATTGTAATAACTTCGTTTTCAGCCAAAAACACCCGGCACTTCCTGAATTAGGCAGTATGATCATCACCGCAGTTGGAACACTTTGCGTGCTCAGCGACGCAGTCACGAGACTGGTACTTAAGGAAACGCAACTGGAGCACCGAGGGTCTCATAAACACCTGTCTGTGACGTTGCCGAAGTTTTGGCAGCGGAAACATCGTGCTGGCTCGGTGATGTACTGCCTGATCGGAACGGATTGGCATCCCACCTTGACTTTTGACGGCGCTGACGGGATGAAAAAGTTAAGAGCTATAGCGTCTGTGTCTGTAAGCTTCCCGTTCTCCCTTGTCCTAATTCGCCTAGCAACAGTCACTTGACTCCTCTCCAGTCCTTCAACGATTTCTTCCTCCGACGCTCCTCGAAGATCCCGACGCGTCATGACTCTTTGCCATGAGTTGTTGGTAGGGTGATGTCGCACGCTGACAGCAGTGCTCACGGCGCCTTGGCCTCTCACACGGCACCTTGGCCTCTCACACGGCACCTTGGCCTCTCACACGGCACCTTGGCCTCTCACACGGCACCTTGGCCTCTCACACGGCACCTTGGCCTCTCACACGGCACCTTGGCCTCTCACACGGCACCTTGGCCTCTCACACGGCACCTTGGCCTCTCACACGGCAAGTAAGCTCCTTGGTCGCCAGTAACAGTCTCGCGTCTTTGCGGTTTCCGTAGCGAATCTCAATGGAACCATCTGTGCATCTGCAAACCTCCTTTGAAGTGCCAAGCCTGGAAAAAGCCTGCTCGCGCTGGATGTTGGGATCGGGCCTGCGCGGCGGTCCGACGTCCAGAAGATGTTTGGGGTCATCAGCAGCTGCAGCCCGGTCTCCAGTGTGGACAGTAGCGTTTTGGCTGGAGGAAAGGATGTATGTGTGGTTGTTTGAGAGAGAATACGTGCCAGTGATAAAATCATTCGGCCCTGGAGCTCCTCATCCACCATGGAGCCCAACTGGGGGACGGATCACCACCCCCTCAGGAGATGCTTGCCGCCAGGGCTGTCACGGTGCTATGCGGGGCGAACGATACCTCCTAAATGGACAGGTGTAACCGGGAGAGTCCTCCCCGTCCTGACCGTGGTTGAGCGCCGTCGCGCCTTGACCCCTTAAGCCGCTGCGCACGGCCAGGCGCCCCAAGCGGAAACCCGTACAGAGCATCCATGATGGAGAAGGAGAGGACGGAACAAAAAGCAGGATGCTTACGTACCGGCAGGGTCGCTTTGAATGCTGGCAGCACGCACTGCCGTCGTATTTAACAGCATTGTATTGCAACGAACAGAGAAAAGCGGTCTGTAGTGGCCAAATCAATTTCCCTGGCTCGCGCACACGCGACGCTACAATCTAGAGCACGTATTTGTCCGTTCGATTCCCCATCAATGCATGCTACTCCCGAGCGCGCCCCGTGCACTGTGTGCAGAGATGCGGCACAAAACGTGTATAACTGTGGACAAGAGAAAAATCCGTCATCCTAAGTAAAAGTCACTCACCATCACAATTTTAGGTGCCCTTGCCGAGATGTAGCGCAAAATGCAAAAAAACGGCCGGTGGCGGCCAAATCTATCTTGCTGACTCGTGCACGTGCTGCACGCAGCACGTGCAACATAATAATTCATGCAACATCATTGTCTGCTCCATTTCTTATCAATGCATGCCACTCCCCAGTGACCCCCACGCCTTGGGTGCCGAGATGTGATCACGCATAGTTTTGACGGTAGCTGCAGGTATATTAGGCTCCGGCATCTGGCAATTCGCCCTGCAATTTACAGCGCAACGGTACGTCGCACAAACTCGCGATGCGACTGAAAGTGCACCACGTCAATTGTGAATGTTGTGGAAACAAAATTCACGCCTGTACGCGCACGGCGACGATTGCAAACAGTGCGCCGTTAACCACCATGCCTGAGCCGAGACCGCGCCTTCGGACAACCCCCCCCCCCCCCCCCCCCCCCCGTCCACATCCGGACAGACTGAAAGCACGCCAGAACGCTCGTTCTTTTGCATAAAGGCCGGGAATATGACCAAAGTCGAAAGCCCGCCACGCGAACGGCCATTTACACCTTTAACGCCTAGGGTGTACGTCGGGAGTCGCGGTCTTGCCTGCTTGCCGCCGTCGCGGCGAAAAAGCCGTCATGTGCAACCCCATGGTCTAGGCTCATTTGCGAGCGACATTTTTTAAATTTGATCAACGTAAGGGTGCATCAGGTGCATCACCAGAGGGAGGACGAATCGGCCGACACGCTGGTGTAACTTTCAACGCCGTTGATGGAAGGGCCAAAAATCAACGGCCGCGTCCCACAATCAATCGCCGATCCTACACAATAGGTTCGGCCGCGCTGCACAGAGCGCAGACGAAATGTGCTCTCTCCTGCCGGCAGCCGCCAGAGGTCGCCAGCACCGTGCGGCCTGTGGCCGAGTCTTTTTCACACTGCGCGATATTTTGGCAATCATTCCACCTAGAACCGTGATTTAAACTACAAAACAAACGCAATTAAAATTTCGAAATTTTTTACTTAGCGCAGCGAAGCAAGCGTGCAAGCGCTTGTTCCTCTCTATTTCAGTAATTGCACCTGCTAGACCTGAATTCTGGTAATCTATGGTTAGCTACAATGCGTTTAGGTCGGGATCCGTCAAAATCCGTGGCGCTGCTCCCGTCCGCACCAGTGGAACCGTCCGTGCGTGGTCCTGCTGGTGTGGTCCGCTCCAATGACGTCATTGTGATGTATAAGATACTCAAAATACTGTTAGGAAAATTAAGGGAGCGACAATTCCAGCGCAGGTGTTCCAAGCCTGCGCGCGCAAGAGCAACTCAAGTGCCCGGTGCGGTATATGACGACCGCAATTTACCGCTATTTATTTAATTGTGAAAGGGCCTTACTGTTTGCCACTGTTTACCAAGGCACGAACTACCGCCACTCACAACGTTTGATAGGATGGTGAATGCTGAGGGATTAAGGGCTGTGTTTAAGAATGCTGGAAGACCGAAAGACTATCAGAGTCATGGAGCAAAAGTGCACTCTGTTGACTGGAACTGTGATGGAAAGCGGCTTGCTTCGGGATCATTTGACAAGTCTGTGTGTGTGTTTATACTGGACAGGGATAGGCTGGTAGGTGGAGTTTTTTGTTTTTTGGTACTGTGTTCCAGTGAAAGTATCTCCATCTAATTGTTGGTATTTCCATTCTCCCAGTTTTTTTTCCTAGGAATAAGACTATTGCTCCTGTCTTATCTTTCTTAAGTTATCTATGACAGCCAGGTCATTTATCCACTAAATACCAATATGTTCTCATAGTTGCCTGGCATTGTCTCAACAGGCACTTTGCACGTTCTGTGTGATAAGTGCTCTAATTGGGCCAGCACGCAAAAACTCCATCCACATACCAATGCCTCACATACCCTTACTTGTGTGCAGGCAAACCAAAGCCAGGTCAACTGATGCCTCACATACCCTTACTTGTGTGCAGGCAAACCAAAGCCAGGTCAGAGTTTGCTGAATGTTTGTTTTGTGTGTGCACCAAACTCTGGCTAGCCCACATTGGGCCAAATTCTCCCATTTAATTTGAAGCAATGTTTTCAAAGCCTTTTTGACCTGAAAGCCCTTTTAAAATCTCACACATTTTTTGAAATGTCTACTTAAATTAGTTAGGTTCATTAACCTTTCAGGTGGCTGATGACACAGTTGTGTAATGGGGACATTTGTAGGTATTTCAGAGTGTTATGCCAGTGAACATCAACTAACATTTTTAAGACATGAAATTATTGTGCTGCTGCCACAAGCCTGTGGATTTATGGGAACATTTGCATATTAGAACAGTGCATCTTTGATCTGGCTTAGCAACATTTACTGATGCCAATTCAATTGTCAATTATTCATTCTGGTAAACTGGTTCTGGTTCATTCATTCTGGAGGCATTTTTAGGAGCTCCAGATTGCTTTGCAACTGATGATTATGATTCTTCTGAGTATGATAAAATACAATACTATAACTTGAAACTGGGAGGCAAAAGTGGAGTGTGAAGGTTTATCAGAGTTGGAAGGGTCTTGACATGAATTCTTGAGTGTGAGTGTTAGTGCAAGAACAGACTGCGCAATCATTTAAGCACACAGTATTTTTTGGAACTAAACCACAAAGCAATTGCCTGTGAACTTTTGTCATTAAGGTAGTATTGTAGGGTGGCACCAGTATAACTGTGATCTCCATAGCATGCTTAGAATGCTGCAAAGCAAACAAACATTTGGCAGTGGGGCTAGTAGGCCAGGTAGTGCCTGTGTCAGATGAGAGTAATTGTTAAAAAGCCTTGGGGCGATTGCTATCATGTGGAGTGGCCACTGTGGGTCGCTGCTTCCAGCCAGTACAGTGGTCGTTTGTGCCCCCAGATCAAGGATCACACGTTTCGCGGGCACAACGACAGCGTGGACCAGCTGACTTGGCACCCGAGTCACGCCGACCAGCTGGCCACGGCCAGCGGCGACAAGACGGTCCGGCTGTGGGACGCCCGGTCTCAGAAGCTGGCCGCCACCATCGGCACCAAAGGTGCGGGGGGGGCGGCCGCTGCTGGCGCCAGCGAGATTTCGGGTTGGGAGGAATGCCCTGGGTGGAGTTCGGCAGACGGACGGTGGAAGCAGTTGTTCTGTACGAAGTTTGCTATCAGTGGTATGGGATGTTCCCCTTTTTCTCGTAGATGTGTTGGCAACCCCGCGTGGCGAGTGGAGCTGTTAGTTGTTTCGTTGCGTTTGAGCGTGACGATTTGAACGTCGCACCAGGAGAGAACATCAACATCTCATGGTCACCAAACGGCCAGACTATCGCCGTTGGCAACAAGGAAGATCTGGTGTCGCTCATCGACGTCCGACAGCGGAAGATCCTGCGCGACGAGCAGTTTCGCTTCGAGGTCAACGAGATCTCATGGAACCGGGAGAACAGCCTTTTTTTCATGACGTCAGGCAGCGGGCACATTGTGGTGCTCAGGTGAGATTTTCATGACGTCAGGCAGCGGGCACATTGTGGTGCTCAGGTGAGATTTTCATGACGTCAGGCAGCGGGCACATTGTGGTGCTCAGGTGAGATTTTCATGACGTCAGGCAGCGGGCACATTGTGGTGCTCAGGTGAGATTTTCATGACGTCAGGCAGCGGGCACATTGTGGTGCTCAGGTGAGACGATTCGTCGGGACAATCACGACTCCTTATACTGGTGGGTCTTGCACGGCAGAATGCGAATGCATCTTGGCTGTGTCGACCATGTCCTTAAAATGCTGCCAGCTTCTATCTGTTTTGTTTTTTATTTCTGTGGGGATGGCGAGGCCTTTCGGTATGGCCCACTGCCGGGAGATTTTCTACTGGGTGGTATGTACACTGGACGCGTCTTTGACATGTAGGTATTTGTTTGTTCCTCACCCTGTGCCACCTTTCATGCATCCTTTTAACGCGGCCACTGTAGCCCATGGTGGAAAAATGATGCGGTTGGAAATGATAAAGTGGATCACAACTATCTTCGAAACTAAACCTGCGTGCCATTCTGAACTCATTTCCCGTATCTATAGATCTTTCTGAAGTTCTGTCATGGCCCCATGTGCCATGCGATCGAAAGGAGATGGTTGGGCTCATCACCTTGACTGCCGGCCTGCTGGGTGTCAGCCAATCCTCGTATGTTGGCGTAGGGGCTTTATGTTTCGGTTCGTTCTACGCCTGATTGTGGAGATGCATATCGCTGTGCATATGATCTGCTAGCAAATTTAGGATCTTAAACTGACCCATATAAGTAGCATATAGGAATAACCGTGATCCAATCATGAGCGTGTTCATGGGCTGAACACTAAATAATTGTTGATGGCTGGCTTTGACGAAATCATGGAAGTCGGTCACCATTGGACTTGATATTCAGTTGGTGGGGTCTTAGCTACTGAAAATGGTGTTGCAGGAGGGCAAGTTGTCACATAAGTTCAGTGTAATTCGCTCTATTTTCGGTGTGCACCGTTACAGTTGCCGTGAGATATCTATGGTAGTCATAGAGAGTCGGCAAACAACGAAAGATGATACGGGAGGGTATCTGCATCTCAAAGATATGAAGATCGCATGTCCCGTCCTGCTGACCCTAAAGGTCTGCTCGAGTCCTCTCACCTGCCCCCGCCCCTCTCTCACCCAGCTACCCGGAGCTGGAGCTGCAGCACGACATCGTGGCACACCCGGCCAACTGCATCTGCATCGAGTTCGACCCGACCGGCCGCCACTTCGCCGTGGGCTCGGCCGACGCGCTTCTGTCGGTGTGGGACGCTAAGCAGCTCATGTGCCACCACACCGTTTCCAGGTCAGCGCCCGCTATAGCGCCACAACGGGCGGCTGGCAGGCGGGCTCATCTTAGATCAGCTTGGAAATACCTTGATGAAATCATCAGTATTGCGCCCAAATTTGGGCTATCTTGTTCTGCCAGGGAACCAGGTGCGTTTCTGGGAAAAGCTGCTGATAGCGAGGCGGGATTACGAAGACGAAACACGGACATCTTATATCCAAAGTGTACCTCTCGATTCCCTTGCAGAACATTCTGAAGCATCGCTCAGATGTCAAAGGGACAGTGATGATGATTGGGGATTTAGGGCGCGCCGACTTCTGAGGCCACTTTGCGTCCGTAACAGCTGAGTGGCTACCGAGGTGAACCAGAGCAGGTTTTCCCCTCGTCCAGCGCTTACGCTGCTTCCAACGACAGTGCACGAGCAGATGCGTAGCTGACAGTGGGTGGTCGCACTGCACGCGAAACTCCAATCTTGCCCCACTTTGTCTTTTTGGACGTCCAGCTGGCATGCATCTAGCTGCATGGACAAATTGAAAAACGGTTTTACGTCACCTTTTTTCAAACGTCACTTCTGGAACAATGATGTCTTGGTTTACCGAGATACTCAGGCTGTTCCTACCCTAACAGCTGTTCTGCCAGGTAGGAACAGCCTGAGTTGTCAAGTTATACTGTGATACTTTGATGTGTTTTTGACGACTTGAACTCGCGTGATGTTTTTTATAAGGTTTGTTGTTATGTGTTATGTCATATGAGCTGTTTTCAGCGATTCATACGGTATGACAGTCATTATCAAGCTCCATCAACAACAAAATGTTCTGGTTTCCTTGGATGAGACGACAACACTGATCAGCAAGCGTCATTCTGGGCCTTAATCCGTGTCGCGTCGGCCGTTGCGGCAGGCTGGACTGGCCGGTGAGGACGCTGAGCTTCAGCCACGACGGCGAGCTGCTGGCGGCTGCGTCCGAGGACCTGCTGATCGACATCAGCGCCGTTTCCAGCGGCGAGCGCGTCACCACAGTGCCCGTGCAGGCGGCCACCTACACGGTCGCTTGGCACCCCAGCCGCTACCTGCTGGCCTTTGCGTGCGACGACAAGGACGAGCGCGAGCGCGACGCCGGCACCGTCAAGCTGTGGGGCGTGCCCGAGTGAGCGTCCGCCGGCAGCCGGTGCCGAACGGACACAGCAGATCTGCGGCTGCCGCGGTGGCGCGTCGGGTACAGGTAGTGGCACTTGTGCGCAGCAGGGAAGAAGCACGCTGATGTGTCGGGCGGAAGTGTGTTTGTATGGCCCCCCGTGAGAAGACAATCACCGAGTGGCTGTGCGCCAGGTGGGGCGCGATTTGTGTTGTGCTGGCCACGGGCGCCATACCGGTGGTATGGACGGTGATCAGATGTCGAGTTCACCGTGGCCTGCTTGTGTTTCTAGTAACGCTGCGGGCACGCCACAAAGGTGCTGCGAATGATCTTGTCGGCACGCATTGACGTTACCGTGAATGTTGCACAGTTGTGCATGGAGGCTGCCAGGCGCTCATCATTTCATACATAAGTGCCACAGTGTTAATCACGTAACTTATGCAGTGATTCACGATGTCTTTTGTCTCATACTTGGCTTCCATGACCTCCGAATCTGGAGACCAGGTGGCCGATATATTCGCTGAGCACTAAAGCTATGATGCTCGGACAGCTGGCCATTTAATCCAGTATTTTGATCGCCGCGCCGGGCGTGCTGTTGTTCAGGGCATTGCTTGGGTGAGCGCACGTGCTTAAGATGGCATACAGACAGTGATGCAGGCAGGGGACACATGCCCTCACCTCGAGCACCTTCTCCCCCCCCCCCCCCCCCCCCCGATCGGCGATTCTTTGTTGGACTATGTCTTCCCTGTTTTCCGGTCGGCCCTGCTGAGCCTGCTCTTCCCTCGTCCATGGAGCGTCTGCCCGACGGGCGCGGCAGGGCCGCTAGCCAGGCAGGCCGCCATTTCATCCTGATGCCTCCTGGTACCCGATTGTGGAAGAGCTGCGGCACGGCATGCAAACATGCGCTGAGTGTATCTCTAGGTGAATTTTTAGGTTTTAACCAGACGAGCTGCAAACGTATGTGCACTCCTGACACGTTGCTACGCGTAAGAGTGTAAACAACGACTGAGTTCGTCATGCATCAAGGTAGCGGTTTCCGCTGCGATGCATCCGTTTGAGGTGACGAAAAAAACAGCCAAGAAGCGTAATGACACCATTCCGATATGAGCTGAACAAAAAGTGTTTTATCCCGATAGGCCTTACGATGGTTCATTCTGTTCGAAGTCCGGTCATTCAATGCCGGTCCGTTACGGGCCTTCGTAAAATGTGACGTGTAATAGTGGTCTATATGTACTGGCGCTGCATGTCTTAAACATTTGGAAAACGATCAAAAGATGTTACGTTATTGGGAAGCAATGCAACCACTCAAGTCACACATCTTCACGTCAAGACGACAACGATAGCGACACGAGAGAAACGACCATTCACATTTTGATGCTCCCTGAGGTGCGACTTCTTTAGATATTTGCACTTTCTGTCAGTGTGTTCACTGGAAAACCTAGCTAGGGACTCCTTTACGGCCAGCAGGTTAGTGGCACTATTCCGACAGTATAGTCGGCTGCAGCCGACTGGAGGGCCGCGGTCGTCTCGTTGACCAGCCAGGGCCTTGCTGGCGGTGGGCGGGCGACTGCCGCCGTGACAGTGGAAGCCGTTGTTGCCCGGCTCACCGCCTGCCGACGCTAGTGCCGGTGGATGTTCTGCGATCTTTGATGGCCACTCGGGCGGCAGGGCCGAGTCGGACGGCGGCAGCTGTCGGCTGGCAGCTGGTTGCTGGTGCCGTCGCCGCTGTTGCTGCACGCGTGACCAGCGGCGGAGCGCGGCCTGTTGTTGGTGCTTGTGGCCGGCGCCCGCTGCCGCGCCAGGGAGGCGATGCTGGCCGGCCAGACAGGCTGTCGGACGGGCGAGCACCGCCACCTCCAGTGTAAGGTGCTTGTTAAAATGCGTCTATGGGCGGTCAGTGATAAAAGAGTCTGGGCACGACAACTGAATACTGGAAAACAGTTCCCGTCTTCAACTCTGCGTCTCAGCCAGCAAGGCACGATAAAGCCTAGTCTCTTGGCCGCCATTGGTAAATCCAGCCGGGTTGATATCATCGCGGTTGTGGTAGAAATACGTTTTTGACATTCATTGTTGTTCGACACACGTTAATATGCGGCGCAATACTGACGCCCGTACCATTGTGCTTTGCAATGTCCAAGGGTTTTTGCCTCGTTGAGGTGAACATCCATTTTTATAACTTAAGTGATTGGCAGTTTGCTCTCCTTTCTGTTACCTTGCAGGTGTCGATGATATTAAGGGTTTATGAGCGCGTCGACTACATGGCCATTTCGCGCCCTTTCAAAAACTGTCTGCTGCGTACAACTTGGTCAGAGCCGTGTCATTTACGTATCACTCCATCTGTATGCATATACTGTTGGACGGCTATAAACAATTCCGAGGTCAACATGGGCAAAGGAAACGAGTATATCGACAGTATCACAACATGAGTCCCGACCCAGTAGCTAGGAGAGGGGCGCTGGTACGACGTAACACAGACGGTCCTTGGCGTAGTGACGACACGAGATCAGGACATGTTCAACGGCCAGACGCTCGCAGCATCGCTCGCATTGTGGCATGCCCTGGCCCAATGGTAGAACGAGTCCGTGGCGTACGTGTGCTCAAGACGTGGGCGACGAAGAGCAACCTCCTCAAATCTGTTATGTTTATGGGACAATGCCCCCTCCCACGCCAGTCAGTGGATTAATGGTCCTAAATGCATAATTTATTTCGGCACTCATTTTGGCACCTTCCATGAATATGCCTAGTAATAACCGACTTCAAGTCACCCACCGGCAGGTTGATGAGCAGAGGGTGGTCTCCACATGCGACTGCTCTCGCTGCGGCGTCCGTTCTGTCGTTCCCGACAATTCCCTGGGGCTAGGAATCCATATGAAGGTGATTTTAACGTTTCAGTAGTGTAGTTTATAAATTTCATCCCAGACAGATCGTATGAGGTACGGATGGCCACCCGATACTGAGTTTGGGTCTGATGATGAGCGAGGGGTACAGGGGCAATGAGCGAGTCATCTAAGATCATAAAATCGCATTCCGTGCGACATGGGGCATATTGCAACGCCGTTAAGACGGCCGAAACTCCAGTGGAGAATACTGGTAGTGCCGTGGTAGGCAAAAGCCTTGCTCTGGCGTCTCTGCCAACCAAGGCATAGTCGGTGCCAGCAGGCCCTTCAGGCAGTCAGTAAATATCTTTACTGAGCTGCGCTGAAGCTGGACTCGCTCCACTGCCACGCTGGCAATCTCCTGTACGGGCACGCCGTATTTTTTAACCTGGTGAAGATCTGAGTCAGACAGCGGGATTGTGCGACACCGCGGGGACAGATCAGCAAACGCGCGCTGAATGTCTTGTCAACGTGAGTGCCCGCCTCACCTCACCAATGTCGCAAACGCAAGCACATGGATTTGGATGAAGTGGACCGCCCTTTCAAGAACATGCGCGTCAACGTGCACGAAAAAATGGGGAGGGAATTGTGACCTTTTGATAGCGTACTTCAGATAAAGTTGTATTCTACGGAGCTGAAGAAGCGGTTCGTTGGCTTCTTTCAGCGGGTATTTCGTGCGGGTTGTGCGAAAAGCCCCAGTGGCAATACGGACACACGCGTGGTGGACACGGTCGAGGGCCTCTTTAGAGGATGTCGGGACGCTGTTTTAGACGGGACTTGCATGGTCAAGCCCTGGGGTATAAGTCTTCCATAGAGCCTTAGCAAGTTGCAACGGTCTGTACCATACGTTATGCGGGACATCACCTCGAGAATATACATGCGTTGATGATAGCTGACTAAGGTGCTTGACGTGGGGTTTGGAAAAAGTCGCCGGTCAAAGATAACGCCGAGAAGCTTCAATTTGTCACAGACCGGAATGATGGAGTCGCACTGACGCAGCACAGGGTCCCTGCACTCTTTGACACGAGTACAAAACTGTATGCATTTGGTTTTGCTCGTCGAGAAGCTGACACTATTCTGGACACTCCATTCATGTACCCTTAAAAAGGCGTAGCTGAAGTTGCCTCGCAGCAGATGATGTAGATGCTGAACACCAAACGGCGAAGCCATCAAGAAGTGACGGCCGGCTTAAATGAGATGGTAAGGCGTCAGAAATGCCAATGATCATCAGGGCAAACAAAGCAACGCTGATCACACGGCCTTGAGGAGCGCCGTTCTCTTCTTCCAATCGGTCCGCTAGAGCGCCGCCGATTCGAACGCAAAAGAACCTCCGTTCTAGAAAGATCTGAATGTACGCAACCATATGACCACTTATGCCACATGGAGAGTATGCCGCAGGGCCATGCTGTGTCGTATATTTTTTCAACGTCAAATAGCAATGAGACAGTGTGTTGGTTTTGTTCAAGTGATTGTCAAACAATGGTACCTAAAATCGCCAGGTGGTCCATTGTGTTTGGGTTCTTCCGAAGATCACCATGCATATTCAAAAAATACCCATGCTTTTTAAGGAGCCAAGTCAGTCGAGCATTTACCATATCTCTCCAAAAGTTTGTATATCGATGATGTTGGGGAAGTGGGGCGGAAATGCAGGTCGGAACCATCCTTCCCCGTCTTTAACATTGGAACTATAATAACTTCCCGCCAGGTTTCGGAAAAATCATCCTCAATCTAGATAAAGTTGAAAAGTCGAAGTATAGTTTCCCTGCAATCCGTGTCTAACCGAACTGACATATCGTTGTGGATTCCGTCAGGTTCAGGGGAAACACCCTTTGTCCGTTTGACAGCTGAGCGCAGTGCTGACATAGTAAAAGCAGCGTTATGCACTTGTTCCGGTGGTTTAAAACTCATTGGAACAGAGTCACACTCCTGTTTGTGGCAGATAAACCTGGGGTTAGTCTTACCAAGTTTGTAGAGCCCGGCTACTGTCAAGCCTATTTTGTTTCCCACTTCCTATGGCTTCGCCAGAATGCTTCCTGTAACCTTCAGGACTAGGACTGCATTCGGGACAAACTTTCCAGATACACTCTTCACCCGCTACCAGACTTGTGCCTGGTTCCCAATATTTCTTCCCGGGAACCGGTTCCTGGTTCCTGGTTTCAGAACCAAGAAGAACTCAGGAACTAATATGACAATAAGTCGTAAGATCCAGCAAGAACTATGATCCAGCTTGACAATAAGTACAAAGGTCCACCAGGAACCAGGATCCAGCTTGACAATAAGTCAAAACATCCAGCAAAAACCAGGATCCAGCTTGACAAGAAGCCAAAGAATCCAACAAGGACCAGGATCTAGCTTGATATGAAGACACAAATTCTAGCAAGAACCAGGATCCAGCCGGATACCAAACTGAAAGAACCAGCAAGAACCAGGATCCAACTTGGATTGGATGTAGGGACCCAGCACGAACCAAGATCCAGCCTGGCATTATGCTGAGGGATCCAGCAAGAACCAAGACCCAGCCTGGAATATGCATGGTGATCCAGCAAGAACCAAGATCCAATTCAGACTTAACATGGAGATTCAACTTCAGCAAGAACCAAGATCAATTCTAAAATTATGTTCAGGAACCAGCAAGAACCAGAATCTTATCAGGGGTTCTTCACAGCAACTGCTGCTCACAGTCCCCACTTTTTTGGGTCCAGCATTGTGTGCTGTTCTTAATGTTAATTAATAAAATAAACCCTATGAACACTGCTGGTTATCTGCTCGGACTGTTCCCCATATACCATAAAACAAAATTTGCTGTTCTTTAATGTTAA